CAAAGCTATTCCAGGCTTTCAAATGCACGCAATCGTTACTTACCATACAACTTACCATAATTGTGTGAGTGACGGGTGCTACCTGTTTGCTTATCCTTTTAGCAAAGATCTGGTGTCTTCACTCATTTTCAGTGATCCATTCATATAATCTTTCATCGCTATATTGCCTTTTACCCTCACTGGAATGTGTTTCGTCGGATAATCGAGACTGGTTGTTCACTGGCTCTGGACTTAAATACTCTCTGTTGTGTCACATAAAATGCTTACGATTGTGTCATATGAAATACTCTGTATTGTTCACGTAAAATGCTATTGTCCTCACTAGTGTGCCCCAAAATAAGCCATTTTATCACTCGGGTACTTATGTGAGTGAGTGAGTATAGTTTTACACCGTTTTTAGCAATATTCCAGCAATATCACAGCGAGGGACACGAGAAAGGGCTTCACACATTGTACCCATTTTAGGATGGAACCCGGGTCTTCGACGTGACGAGCGAACGCTTTAACCAATAGGCTACCCGACCGCCCCCGAGAACTTAAGTGCTTCACTAAGTGAATATACTTCTTTAAACAAAAGTAAAGGTTTTCGAAGCCAGCATGTATTGCCGTTATGTGGTGTGGTGTAGTGTAGTGCGGTTTGGTGTGGTGTGGTGTGGCGTGGCGTGGCGTGGTTTGGTGTGGCGTGGTGTCATTACGCCCTTTATACTAACTAGTCTTACAGTTGGTCAGTTAGGCACATTCTACAAAATCGGTATTTTTAGCTCACGAGTACCTAATGCATTTACCCACTTCATCAGTTCTTGAATCAAATCGGTTCTACAACACTGTAAAAGTTCCAGTATCGTCCAGTAACCTGTCCCGTTGATGATAGGCGTGTGCCATCCGTCATGTACATGTTTTTCTCGCTTACTGTTCGATCACATTCATGGTACTGTAGACGAAATGGATGTCCTTCACTCGATCGGTCTCACAGAAAATATGGCCTGCAATCACGGACGCAACATTACATTCAGTCAGATAATGTGGGAAATAAAATCGAACATTTCAGGAGGCCATATATGATTGTTGTAGAAGGTTACCTTATGCGTTATTAATTTACAAGAAATAACAGTCATCCTCCACATTGCCCGGGTCTCAAGACATGTTTTTGTATCTGCCGGTTTCAACATGTAAAGAATGTGTGCTACAGTGCGCCTCTGATGACCAGACAGCCCATGCCTCCGATAAGCAGCAAGGTCTATCAGGGCACTTATTGGCCTACGAGACCAGTCCTTGTTTTATCCCCTTACTGCCGAGCGCCAGACATGGTAACAACAAGTACCACCTTTTAACGTCTTTTCGTGTGACGCGGTCGGAGATCATCACCGGACACTCCCCTCTCTGGGCGGACACTCTACCACTAGACCACGGAGGCTGTCTTGTCATTATTGGACCACTAAGGTTACTCTTTCAATAGAGCGGAGACTTTGAATGACTCTATAAAAGAGGTAATGAGTGTGCTGATACATCACAACCTGTACAGGTGAATGTATTGGTCTGCTGCAGACATGCTCGGAACTTCAAGAGGACAACTAAAATATCAATGATGTGACAATTGTGTGTGTCCCCTTTTTACATGCATTTGTTGGAAGATATACAGACAGGTATTATTTTCAACTCATCGATAACTACTATCTGCAAACAATATCATTGATTTATTCTGCACAGCAGGGATGTCAGGTCAACATACCAGGAACAGGCCATATGAGCAGGAATGTGAATCACAACAGCATGCGGTCAAATTCACAATACAGTAAACTACGTTTATAAAGAACACGCCTATAACAACTGACCGATATAACGATGCAGATTCTTACACCGTTATCAAGCTGGAGTGATACTGCGATACTCAAAAACCACACAACGTAACACTGATCCAAATTCAGACTAACTCTGACTGTCCAAGCTGCTGTTCTTTTCTAACAGTTTGTTTGTTTGCTTGTTGTTTAACGTCGCACTCAGCAATATTCCAGCTATATGACGACGGTCTGTAAATAATCGAGTCTGACGTTATGAGCATCGACCCATGCAATTGTGATACGATGACATGCATCAACCAAGTCAGCGAGCCTGACCACCCGATCCTGTTAGTCGCCTTTTAAGGCAAGCATGGCTTGCTATTCCACCCTGGATCTTCACGGGTCTTTTTCCGACTGATTCACCTGCCATTCAATGTACAAAATCAATATGTAATGACCCCCTTCACGTTTATGTATAACCTTCTGTAACTACTATGTCTTTAAATTCATTTGTTAGTATTAATGAAACGATCCTTACAAGTAATGAACTACCATTTACCAATCACTCAACCACACAGGTCTTATAATTAGAGGTTATTATATGGCCCTTTTCATACCATGCCTTAGATCAGCTCGAAATCCCAATTTCAGCCTCTTATCATATACCTTAACATCAAAGTGAAACATATCGATTTGAAAGTGAGCTGACGACGTACCAAGGGACGTAACTCTAATTACGGGTCATGTTATAACATCCCTGTGATAAGAACGTTACTATGTTGGCTCTACTGCATATGCAAAATACCTTTAATTTTCTTTAATCGATAAGTAAAAGTTATCCCTATACTTTCCGAGGTGTATCGATCAATAGCCTTACTGTTATTAGGTACACTGAGTTTCCCAGTAAATGTGGGTATAACTTTCTTATTTCCCTCTCATAGGAATGTAAACTTATTTATGTTGCACAAATACAACGGGATGAAAATCCCAAATTGCTGAATGCGTCCGTAAAATATTTAAACAAGCTGTCAAAGTCATAGATTGTATAGCATTAAAAATGCATTTCATTTGTTGGAGTCCTGCCAGCACATGCGTAACGTGTCTGTGCTGAAGGCTGTTAAACACTTACAAATTCTTAAATGTCAGTTCAAGTCCCAAGTACTTTTTAGTTTTGAAATATTTGATTTTACATGTTCGATCACTAAGATCACAACACTTAGTTGAACAAAGGAGATTGAGTAAACTACTATTTATAACGAACACGCTTATAACAGATAAAATGAACTTAGTTTTGGTCCTGGCCATGTGCTGTATATATGCTGCATATATGCTTATAACAAACTTCGGTTATAACAAACTTAAATTAGTGATCCCTTTGAGTCTGTTATAACCGTAGTGTTCTGTAATTCTATAGATATACAACTTCTTTAAGACAATGAATTTGCTGTTTTGGTTTAGATACCGTTATCAAGCAAGCACTAGCATTGATTGTAATAAAGAAGTTGTATATCCATAGAATTATCTCCCTTGTTAGTCGTACCATGTTCCAAATGCCAGTTAAAGAACGTACTCAGTTGTCACAAGTTGGCAGTCTCAGGACAAAGGTATCCTAGGCAACGAACCGGAAGAAGCGTATAAGTGATATAAGACGTTATGCTGATGCAGGAACCCTGATGTTCACGAAAACGTCATAAAAGATGTAAATGTTATGAGTGAGTGAGTTAATTTGGTCTTTAGCAATATTCCAGCAATATCACGGTGGGGGACACCAGAAATAGGCTTCACACAATTTACCCATGTCGGGAATCGAACCTGGATCCTCGGCGTGACGAGCACATGCCTTAAATACTAGGCTGTCCTAACAATTGCCGTCAGTTATAACCAGTCACCCTAACATTCACATATACGGCATGTTACTTGTGCGACTTGCATGTTTTAGCATTGTGCTTGTGACGTTTGATACTGTTCAATTAACTGTGCGGCTTTAATACCCAAACAAGCTTGTCCCATCTGTCAACTATGTTATTGGTTCAGTATGCAAAGCCAAAAGGAAGCTTTTATATACATACATATGTACAAAAGCTTCCTTTATGTTTTGCAAGCCTGAAAGGATCCGCTGAAGTATTTCTTCGGGTGGTATTGCACTCGGTAAAGTTTGAGAGCTTCTTATCCATAATATCATGCACAGCTTTTGCACCAGGAGATGGAAAGTGAGTACTTGACGCACCGACGTTTCAACTTTTTGCATCACTATACCACACGATAAACTTGTAGGGGTGAGGCATAAGTAGACCCATAGGGGAACCAGTTGTGCTCTCCTTTTTGCTGGTCTGAATCCGAATGGCGGCTCGGATGGGCACCCCCCAAAAAAAATAACAACAACAAAAAAAAACAAAAAAAAACACACCAAAAAAACATGGTCTATTTTGCCAAGACCTTTACATTAAGCTTCACATATGAAGATGTTATTATATTGTTAAATAACATTCACAGAGGCAATTCCTTTCCATTGCTGTACCCACCTGAACTAGTGATAGAGGAGACAATTGAGACTGCTTCATCTGTTTCATACCAAGATATGTACATAAAGATTCAAAGATAAAAAACCTCTCCAAAAGACTATGCTAAGGGGGATGACACTAACTGTCCAATATTCTAGCAGTTTCAGCCTTTGCCTGATTTACTTTCAGTAGAGCATGCTCTTTCTACGAAGGTTTCAAAGAGCCTCCCATGAGTGTTGTTCAAACAAAACTGTTTGATCAAGTTCCTAACCTTCAAGGCATCAGTAAAGCAATCAAAAATTGTATGGTAGACATGTGAATGATGTATGTTTGTTTGTTTTGTATTTTTAAGGGGTTTAATGCCGCACTCAGCAATATGCCAGCTGTATGACGGCGGTCTGTAAAATAATCGAGTTTAGACAATCCAGTGATTGACATCATGTGCATCGATCCACGCAGTTGGGATACGATGACATGCATCAACCAAATCAACGAGCCTGACCACCCGATCCCGTAAGTCGCCTCTTACGAATGATGTATGATGTCTGTAGCTCTGTTAAAAGTAGCTTACATGCTGTGGGCAAGTCTGTTTAGTACCATATCAGGTGAGCTGCACAACCTAGGGCTCTATTGTACAGTTCTGTTCAGACATTCAAGAAAACAGCGAAAGGATGAACTCATGTACATAGCATTATTAATATTTAATCTTGATTACCTTCTTTCATAGATAGTGTATGTTTTACATGTGACATTTAATTTCCAAAATGACTGAAAACTGTTCTGGCATTAATAGATGACGTCACCTACTTTGGTTCATTGTGGTCAAGAGGGATTTCACGTCCATACACCAGCAACAAACACAACGGGAAAACTACTTGAACACACAACAGACAATAGCATTATTTAGGGGTATTCACAATCTCGGGTTCCAAACAGCCAACCAACTTCTCCAGATTGTCTGTCGCTTTTGCTAACGTCAAGGTACCCGGAACTAGACTGGTGGCAAAAGCTGCCAGTTGAAGTCATGTCCACACTCAAACACAAAAAGCTTTTTTCAGCCGTACACATATGCATGCATTTTGCATTTGGTGTGGATCGCGATTCGAAATCATTGTGCCCTGTTATGGACAGCTCTTCGTAAACAGACATGATCTTCCCATACACCCTGCACCCTGAAATACAATGGTGCGAATTAGTCTCTGTTGATGGCTAATCTATAAAAAAACATTTATACCATGCCAGTCAAAAAAACTAACAGAGAATAGGCCAGAGAAAAAAACTCCCTTGGTTGATCCAGTCCACTTGTATGACATTGTTTTAGAATAATATACTTTTCAACACATTGCCTTGAAATATCCAATCCTCCCTGTTGAGGATACCCTGACCCGTGAAGGTCCGTGGTAGAATAGGTCTTCAGCAACCAATTCTTGCAGTAAAAGGCAACTATGCTTGTCGTAAGAGGTGACTTATGGGATTGGAAGGTCAGGCTCGCTGGCTTGGTTGATGCATGTCATCATATGCCAATCGCGTGGATCGATGTTCATCGCTCGATTATTTATGGACCGCTGTCATAGAGCTGGAATATTTCTAAGTGCAGCGTTAAACAATAAACAAACAAATGTGGGTCCCAGTTCTTTCAGATATTTCACGTTTTCTCTATAGTAATAACCTGTTTGAACCCCTTGAAAAGACTCACATATAATTTGATTTGCAATCGAAGAGGTTTTGACAAAAATGAACACCAAAATTCTCATTATATTTTAGTGATAAAAGACAGCGAGAATCATGAGAATCAGTTAACTGTGTCCGAACATGATTTGTTTGTTCGTAATTTTAATGACTCACTCCTGACACATGCTTGTCCCGCCTTGTGGTAGCTGAGACCTGGCGTGCACATGCACCGTCCCTTGTAGCACAAGGAACCATTGATGTAGCAGTCGTTGTCATCCACACATGGCTGACGCATGCCACCAGGTTCTGCAATCCAAAATGACTTTATTCAAATTGTGTTCAATGTATTGTAATGTTTAATGGATTATCTGAACTGAACGACAAAAGAAACCTGATGGAAATGACTGTAATTAATCAATTTAAAATAACAAGAGTTTGAGGTAAAGTGTATTTAATAAACCTCCAATTACACAAAGTATTGAACAAGGTGACAATTCGTGGTTAAATATTGTACACCAGACAAACAAAATCAGTGGTAGCTTAAATCTCAGTTGTGAAGTTTTCACTGCAATTCATTCAAACAGGGAAAGTGGTCACAGACACTAACTTAGTCACTTTAATACCGAATGTGGCTAACCCGTGCCTCCATACAAGCAAAGACTGAGTTGGCGGGAGGGTGTCTCGCCTGTCCAAGACGTCCCAGAGGTGTCCTTTGTGTGATTAGTCAGAAGAACATGCCGGACACGGTAAGATGTTGACGTTGTTGTTGGCGACTTCTTGAACGCAGCAAACAGCTGTCCGTTCAACTTTGCGACGGTAAACACGTTTGCCATCAACTCTAAACAAACAAAAACCAGATTTCGTCCGTAAAGACCACACGTTGCCAATCCCGACGCTTCCACCGTCACACTCTATTAGCCAATCTTATTCGACTGCGTCGATGTTCAGCGGTCATCATCTGTCCTCTAAACAGTCGGTAGGCCCTGATACATGCTGCCCAAAGTCTTCTGGTCGCTATGTGTGCTCACCCGCCGACCTAAAGCAGTCACTGCCGAAGACGTCACTGTGAGGAAGCGCTTGCGGAGGTGCAACGTTCGCAGATACAGGTCTTCCTGTGGTGTAGTGACCTGTGGTCTCCCTGTCCCTGGCCTGTCCGACGTCCTTCAAGTCTGCCTGAAACGCTGCAACAAGTTTCCAACGGCAACATGGGAACAGCCAAAGGTTCTTGCCACGAGGGTGTGTATGGCCCCCATCTAGACTATCTCAAATGCTCGCTCGCGTTGTTTTGATGTTAGTCTTGGCATTTCAATAGGTTTTTCTATTGTTATTCTATCTTGTGTTTCCTTTGCACTTCACTTTATATTGACTAATAAATCTAAACCCTTATCCTAAAACCCATTACCACTTACATTTCTGCATATACCATAAATCGAAAGTGTCGATTCTGATATTACGTCTAAGAGTCAGATTATCGCTTAGGAGGACAGGCATTGAGACTCCTTTGACATCACACCACACTATTGTACTATCTGTGTTCTAGGTGGACAGGAGGGGCGGTGGGGGAGCCAAACGGTTAAGGCGTTCACGTTCACGCCGAAAACCCGGGTTCGATTCCCCACATGGGTACAATGTGTGAAGTCCATTTCTGATGTCCCCCGCCGTGATTTTGCTGGAATATTGCTTAAAGTGGCGTAAAACCTCACTCACTCACTCACTCACTCAAAAAATCAGGTAAAATGTCTACCGAATGAACAGATTCAGTTTCCAAAATATTTATATAAACTATGTCACCTAACGTTTTGGGATTGTTATTCAATATACCAATCTAAAGATAATGCAGATTGAATGTGTTGTTTTTTTGGTGTGTGTCAAGAAATACATTGGTGTTGGTTAAAACAATACCTTGAAATATTAATTTTCATGTGATCAGACGGCGGAAAAATGGACAATCGTGTATACCCACCCGACACTAATTGCCATGTTAATCCCCAATCCACAATGAGTTAACGTTTAGTTCATCTTGCAAATGAGCTAATTAGGGAGTTAATAAACATCAAATGTGGGTAAGCAATGATCATGTGTTCTGTAGAAGGGGTGATGTCACATGTTTAAAGTTTATTTAGGATTATCTTGATCCCTTGATGCTACCAGGTTGCCCTTGAGATTATCAGACAGATTGTCTTGACACAACCTGATGTCTCAACAGTATTGATTAGATTCACCCTTGTAGCAATCAACGTGTCAGACAAGAACTTTGACCACTCTGTGCAGATGCATAACAATGCGTAAAGACCGTGGGTTAGAAGATTCAATAATGGTACGCAAGTAAAAGTTGGGTTTCACTGTATTTAGAAAAAGACGATAGATCCAAAACTTTATAATATTCAGATGAGTGTTCGAATAGGATATATACACATAAATTCACAATTAACCTTTAAAAGTTCCAAAACCGGACAGAACTTTAATAATTTTGATAAACTTTGCCAGACCAATATATATTGAAGTTTTCCTGTTATTGGTAATCTTCATTAAATTAATTTTCAAATGATAGGATAGATGATAAAAAATACCATACTGATTTTACTCATGAATATTGCCAGTAGTTGCATTAAGGTCAGCACAAACTAAACCAGCTAATGGGTCTATAATCTAGTGAGTGGGTCTATCATTAAAAAGACTTTTGGACTTAGAATAAGGCAGATATAGATTTAAAGCAAGGTAATAGATACAATCCCTGTAAAGTGAGTCTTTGAAACCTGAAACATCCATCTATATCGCATCACCCGTGCTGAGCATTGTTTTACCAAAATGGTAAAGAAATGCTGACTAAAGAAACATAAATAATTGAAGGCATTCTACTTTCACACGGTGTATTAAACTCATCAGAATTTGAACTTTTGTTTTTAATAATAGAAACGAAAATAGATTTCTTAAATTACTAATTTGAAATCCTCCCATGTTCGTCAACACTGTTTCACATATAAACAGCATTGTTCTAAACTGGCACTAGCTTCTCTTATTAAAAGAGACACGTTAATTATTGAAGGACCTGGTGTATCATTGTTTAATGAATTAGTCTTCGTATTGTCTGTTGGAGTATTTATAACCTTGTTTGAAAGTGTTCTCTGGGACTATCATAGCTTTTCACGAAAGGAGCGATCATCTGATATACTGGGTGTGGGAGCGGTGGGGTTGAGGTGTGTGTATGTGTGTGTGGGGTGGTGGTGGGGGGAGGTGGATTGGGGTTTGGGGAGGGTCTGGGACTTTATCTGAAAACAACTGACCCAGAATAGGATAGCAACAAAATCAGTGAGCTAATAAGGCAAATAGTAACAAATCGCGAGGAGATCCACCTTACGGTACATCGGTCACTACTACAGATAACTGATGTGTCATGTGTACTGTGAGCGTATTTGTTAACCCAGATGTTATCGACACACTGCATTGTTAGCAGTTATCAATTTATCCGTGTAGATCCGGGGTAGAATAGGTCGTCAGCAACCCATGCTTGCCGTAAAAGGCGACGATGCTTGTCGTAAGAGGCGACTAACGCGATCGGTTGGTCAGGCTCGCGGACTTGGTTGATGCATGTCATAGTATTCCAATTGTGTGGATCGATGCTCATTTTGTCAATGACTGGATTGTCTGGTCCAGACTTGATTATAGCCCGGGTTATACTTTTCAGGGATCCCACACTCATTTCCTTTAATTAAGCTCGCGAGAACTTGTTTAGCATCATTGTTCAACAGACAATCACATTTTAAGAGTCCCTGGGCCTATTGATCCTTTACGTTCATGGGTAAGGAGACAATTAATGTTTACTCAAGAGTTCATAGGACAGCCTACCAAGGGCGTCTGAAAGTTTCAATGTGACATTTTTAACACTTCCCCGAGGAGGTACAACTGACTGACTGACTGAGTATGGTTTTACGCCGCTTTTAGCAATATTCCAGCAATATCACGGCGGGGGACACCAGAAATGGGCTTCACACATTGTACCCATGTTGGGAATCGAACCCGGGTCTTCGGCGTGACGAGCGAACGCTTTAACCACTAGGCTACCTGACCGCCCCCGAGGAGGTACAAGCGCCGCGAGTGCTCTCCAACGAAAACCCGAGAAATAGAAATACTGGTTGTCAATCACGAATAGGGAGGAGATTGATAACATCCTCCTCTCGCAGTAAATTCCAGTGTCATTTTTTTTTTTTCAACCAATGCTTATAATCGAAAACCCCCGATGGTGTCAGATTTGGAGTGTTTATTGAGGTGAAAAAAATATAATAATTTCTTGCACAATTTTGCTTTCATAAATGGAAAAATAAAAAAAAGGTATAAATTGAATTGTCGAAACACATAAGCACATATGTTTCAGATTTCAATATATAGAAACACATGCTAAACCCATATTATAATAACAGCATCTTGATACTCCATTGCATCAGAAAATGTCACACATGTATATCTTTTTAATTTTAACAAATTCTGGACGTCACCTTCAACACAGGCTGCCTTTTCAGATCCAGTCACCAGACACCTCATGCCTTGCTTGCAAGACTTGGAGGAACAGGGGCCTTCAGGGACCTGAAGACAGACAAATGTTGATTCACTGCATATTGCCTTAGGGTCGCTTGATCAGGGTTTTTCAAGGAAGGGCATTATGTATGTTGCTATCTCTCTAGACGTGAACATAATGCACAGGTTATGACACATGCATTTATTTCTGTCTCTAGATGTCTTTTTATCAAGTTTCTTAATATGACGTAAGGGGGTACGTCTTTCACCATGCACCTACAAATTAATCAAGCACCCCTGACAAAATAAGAACAGTGATATACTCGTTTATAAAAATTCAAGTTTCATGATACTCATTCACAGAATGCCTGTCGATCTCGACATGATAGTCGCCCAAACACACAGACATATGAAGCATGAGACCCTCGAGTTTCAGGAAAAGGACTTTGATGTTGATGCAAGTAAGGGTATATAAAGTCGCAGTTATCCTGTTGTTTAGTAGCACATGCAACCATGGTCCGCAGGAGAGTGCCAGAAGCACTCTGCATGCAAATTATTAGCATGCATGACACAGATATGTCACGCAGAGCCATTGGACGCCAACTTGGCTATGACTATAATGTCATCAACAGACTCTTAAGAACACCCCCACAGACACGAGAAGTAAAACGGCCTTCCACGACCAGGGCCACCCCGAAAGACAACTGTAGAGGAAGTCAGGGCTTTAGTACAACTTGTGAGGCGACAGGCATCTGGCTATCAGAACTCTCTGAAACCGACTTAATCATTTGGTTTGAATTCCTGAAGGGTCATCAGATGTCCCTTGTGAACTGCTCATCACCGGAGACTTCGATTGACTTAGTGTATGTCACATGGCTGCATTGCATCGGGAGTGGCAGCAGTTACCTCTTGATCGTATCAGGAGACTCACTGGAGGTATGAGGAGGAGGGTGGAATCGGTCATAACCGCACAGGACGGTGACACTCGCTGATGTTTTCAGGATTGTGATATCTCATCATGGAACTTCCCAGATCCATTGTTTTCGGGGTTATCAATTTTCCTCAATATAAGTTCTATACCAACTTTGTTATTACTGCAATTGAAGTATCAAATATATGCAGCATTGTCATTCAATAGTCAGGAACATCATCTTACCTACGCAAGACATTTAATTCTCCAAATTAGCTCAGACTTGACAGAAATGGTATTTTTATTGTTCAGACATGGTCGCAAAACCAGGATATATATAATGGTTTGATATTTCTTGACAAAGAAGGTTTGGGTATAGGACATATTCATCATTACTTCAACGTTCACATTAGAGGGCAAGTCAAATATCTGGCCCAGACATGTGGGTTGAGAGAGAGGATGCATTCATTTCGTCACTTCTTCAAAACACGCTCTTTACTGTGAAAGAGAAAAGAGTTTCTTTTCTTTCACAAGATGCTTTGTCTCTCGGGAGATTCAGCATGTCTTTACCAAGTTATTTTAAAATATGAGGCCAAATTGTCTAGAAAAAACCCATTGATGTCACATAATTCCTTGCAGAAATTACAAGTCATAATAGTTGTTTTGATAAATTCAAATACAACAGACACCTCCAAAGAGTACATGTTATTTTGTGTATTCATTTACAGTTAAGGAGATAATAATAGAACATGGACAGTCCCAAATGTCTAAAAGTTAAACAAAACCTAATGTTTTATAATCAATTATGTCAAAGAACCCAGCCTTCGATCAACGATTACAACAAATTACAGTGTGTACACTGACAACACACTACTCACATCTGAGTCAAGTTTAAGCCGAACGATGCATCCTTCTTCTGCGTTCTTTAAGTCCATGCTTGATAGGCGGCAGGTTAAAGTTTCAATGTTGTATTCAATACTCAGGCACAAACCATGCTCAGTACATTTGACTTGGCATAATGTGATGCCAATGTTCTTGAAAGAAAGAAAGACACCTGCCGCTGTGTCTGTCGTCCGATTTTTGCAACTTGAAAATCTGATTGCCATGAAGGCTGTCAATGCAATGAAGAAGGTTCGAAAGCTGCCTTGAAGCACCATTCTGTTTTCTGAATACAGCTTAAATAAAGATCTAACCCGGCGACTGCTTGCGCTAATGTTCACAGAGCATCAAGTCAGAGACAGCTCACTTCTGGGTGTCCGGGACTATAGTGAGTAGATGTACACGTGCCTACTCATATACTAATAAAATCAATAGTACCTTGAGAGACCGATACTACTTGCTAGCATTCAAACTCAAACGTGTGTACGTCCCTTTTATTACACATACATGTTCCCAAAAGCAATCTTTATTGTCTGATAGACTAGGTTTTCAAACTAACAGGATTCCCCATATTAATGGTAATGTGCAGCGTGTGGTCATTTGAATGTTGCAGGTAAAATGGCACCAGGGAACAAGACGGTTTACGAATGTCATGCTGTATTTTTTATCAATGAGTGTTTGGATCCAAATGTCCACAAAGTAGTATCAGGCTCGAATGTATACATGTGTCAAGTTATTTATATTTTCCAACAAACAAGATAGTTTAATATACAAAAAACAGAACATCAGTGAATGGCAACCTTGAATGGAACTACACCACTAAGAAGGCATCAGATAAAATGGTGCTAGGCAACACGAAGATTTACAAATGCAAACAATGTATCTTTTGTATTTAAAATGGTCTCCTGTGTCAGATCAGTAGACATATCACACATCATGTTTCCTCAGAATATCATCCGACTCAAGTCTTTGCCGTAATGCCAAAATGAAAAGAGGATACAAACTTTAAGATAATTTTGCAAGATGTTACTTTTCCAAAACATGTACATAGAATAGCCAGTCCATTTATGGTGCAGTATTGGTGGATAAGGTATATGTATGGCATGCTGAAAAAATAAAACCTTGTGCACTGTTTGTGTAGCTTTTTTGAGCGATTGGTTGAATGTTGTTTTGCACCACAATCAGCATTTCCCCCAACCAATCCAATCTCGAGTGAGACGATAGAATGTTCCCGATAAATATTAAACGTCAACACCAGAGAATAAACATTTATTTTACTCGTGACATATTTTCCGTAATCACTTGTACCTCGTGGGTTATTCTATAATTAGGGGCCTTGTGTAAAGTTCCGTTGACTCAAAAGCAAAAACACAAGTTTCAAAGTAAATGTTAATGCACAGCTGCCTGATCCTGAGGACAAAACAAACGCATGTGATTCATTTCATATGATGAAACAGAAATTATTCTTAATTATTGTTCTAAGTGATCCTGATTTCATTAATCTTCATCATTTTATGTCAGTTCGTGTAGGCCACAGGCCTTTGTGTAAATACATATGGCAATGCACAAACCAGTGTGCATTACATACATATAAGAAATAATAGAGACATTACATATATTATATATTGATAATTGTATTTCAGATATAGGATCTTTCCACATTTGCATAGAACAAAAACTTTGCTGTGTTACTAATACTATTTGTACTTTGATAATTACATTTGGAGATGATAGCAGTAAGTGAAACGTCTGTATAAGTCGCTGTGCAAGAGCTGTTGAAAATCGCCCTTTAGACGCTGAGTAAACACATTTCAGGAAAGATTTTGGTGCTGCATCCTTGCGAAATCCATTACATATTAAGCAAGACTTACTTTTGTGAAAGCCTCATGTCGTGAGTATCCCACAGCATAATCATATTACCAGTTGTTATCATTCCCCTGGTCAATGTGTAAATAGCGATATCACCCGTCTGCCCCTGCGCATATGTATGTTTGGACGATGGCAGTGGTACAATATAAAACTGTTTATTATAGTGTCGCCATTTGTACAGTACATAGCATTGAAAAACTGAAGTCAAGTTCCATAATACATGGTGTACACGTGCCACCCAGAGAGGGTGATGCGAGACATATGTCATTAACAGTATTAAATATACAAAGTAATGCCAAATACGGATATACATTCCCCCAGACACACACAATCACACACAATCTCTCACATACACATACAGACACACACACACACAATCACACACACACAGTCACACATAATTACACACTCATCAACCCAACTACGCACGCAATATATATGCCTACCATTAATATGTACACAGACACATGTGCACACACATGTATGTAAATACATTGATGAGTACATATACGCATACATTCTTAATCCAAAGCGAGCGCATATTCGTACACACAAACACTGGATCTCGCCTGACATACATGCACAAACGCACACAAACGCACACCAAGCTGACATATTCGCACACGCACTCACACACACAGACGGACACAAACATATGCACTTAAATTCAAACAAACTTATTTACATGGGTACATTTATTATATAATTCATGTAAACATAGCATATTTGAATACTGTATTCCTAAAGAGATACAATGGATGAAGACTTAGTAAACTTATAAGACATACAACTTGAGTTATGATTTTAAACACAATTTTCTATGGGTAAGCAATTTAAAACACGTGGTATCTACTGTAGGTACTAGATCATTAAGTATTCATGTCAGGAGTATAGTTTGGGTTGGATATGGCTGGTAATTCTGCAGAGCGGATGTCATCGTAAAAATGGCATAGGATATTCTGAAGGAAATGATTCTCATCTTCGACAGAATCATTATAAAATATTCAGAATCGTGGAGTTGTTGGGATAGGTTGGTTACTAAATCCGCCCGTGTCGACCTCTAGCCTAGCTACAATATACATGCCATATGCATGATGATAAACTGAATATTTTAACAGAAGTAAGTGGTCATGTACACCAATTTGGTGTTATGGGTGGTAAAAGACTTGTATACATGCAGGAAATATAGTCTCACATTTTGGATGAATTTACTGATATCAAGATATCTACATTAATACTTGTTTTCTTTTTGTAAAATTAACATTAACAAGTAATATTGTGTTAACATCAACTCACTCAGTGTAGAAGAATGGATAATGTCTTATATCATGAGTTATGGAACAGGTAAAGATGTAGTGTGATACATTTTCATGTATATATCCACAAGAAAAAGCTGCATTGTCAGAAATGTGTCTTTCACATGGATATTATCCCTACAACCGAGTCTGGGGCGAGAATGTACAATAAAATGATATAAGATGGTATACAATTCTGTGCACAAACCAGACTTTAACAGTTTATACGTTCTAAGCTTTGGTATTGACCGTACGTTTTGAAGCCATCTTCTTTTATCTATGGCAGTAAGTTGTGTTGAAATATTGTTCAAAACCCAGGTAGGTGATCTGTAGTTGGTCATGTCAGTAAGCACAAGATCGTTGAAAACAGGCTGAGTTTTTCTTTATCAGGATTTCCCCCTTGACAGTGACCACTGACGAATGCTGTAGGCCAGTCGGTTTTAATTTCAAGCAATCGTGCAAAGTCGAGTCTCAGCCGGTGGTCCTGCCACCCCATGTCGCCTTGAATAGCTAGGTTACATGTATTTCTTCTTACTCAAAGAAATATTCGGCTCTGTTTTGTATTGAATATACTTCTTTATATTTACATGCACCCCATATGCCTTATCAATATAATAACACAGACTGTACAATACTGTATTACAATCGTGTAACAATATTAAGATGCATACTACCACACGAATAATACTTATGGCTAAGGAAATCCAGTGCTTCTGATAACAATTGCCGATTTTACCATTTCCTGACCGCTTAGCGACTACAGCAATGAGAATGCAACAACAGCCAGAGGTCCATGACACGGTAGCTGACAGCGTAGTCGATTGTCACGTAACCACAGGAAATCCTGTTATTTTGGCGTACGCTTTCCCTTTTGAAACGTACAATGCTTGTCTTTCTTATGCTCATGCTCAATCTCCACTTCCATACATGTAGGATGTTTTCATCACTTGAAGACTGTCAGTCTTCAGTCATGCAGAAACACTTCAACGTTAACATCATCGATCTGTGTTCCACAGCTGTTTCAATTATGTTGCAGGATCGTTGATATATATTGCAATATACAATGTAGGAGATGAGGAGCATCCTTATTTTACACCCGTCTTGATACCTTTTTTCATGCTTGTTAACGTGCACAGTGCATAAAACGTTGTCATACAGTGATCTGATGGCTTGTATAATATTCCCTGAGATGTCTTATTCCATTAGTTTGACTATAGCAGAGTCAAAGGCCCTTTGAAGTCTTTGAATCGGGTAAGTGTTTTTACATATTATTATTGTTATTAACAACACTACAAATACTATAAACATGGTCTGAACAAGATCGCCCTGTTCTGAAACCTTTCTGTACGTCTACAAGGATATCCAAGACTTCAAGATACTGGAATAGACTCTGGTTTATGACACAGGCGTAAATCTTGGAGGGGATGGATAACATGGTAAGTGGTCTGTAGCTCAAGGGATCACGTGGGTCACTATCCTTGGTTTTCCCTCGGTTACACATGCTTGAGTGGAACATGTGTGACATAATGTAAATGTACATCATTAAACACGACACTTATATTATTGAGTCCTGTTGCTTTTTCCCAGTGGTTCTCATTTGGCGTTTTCTCTTCTCTGAGGTAATCGTTGAATCAACGATTGGGTTTTTAATGTAGTTTGATCATTGATGGGTATAGTGGCTCGTTTGGCATAGTGCCTGGAATCTGGAAACATGGCGGAAGATCCAGTTATTATTAAACATATTTTATTGTCCAAAAAGACAAAGGGTTGAGCACAAGTGCAACACTTTTTACCGCCATATCCCTATATACAGTTAAACATAATATTGCAAAATGGAAATGAAAGTTTACAATTGAAGTTTGACATTGAGGAAACATAGTGCACAATATATATACAGTGAACATATGAAGGATATATACAATGTGCTGGAAAGTGAAGACAGTGTGCATCTCATACATATGCAAATATTATACATTTTAATGTTTATCTATAAATTTAGCAATATTAATGATTAACAATTTGGAAACAATAATATGCTAGCTACTGAATCTGTCAGTCGTTTCTACAAATTTGTGTACAGACAAGAATAATTTTGTATTCAGGAAAAGATTAAGGTTTGGGTCACCAAAAAGAATACTATTTAGAGTTATGTGTCCTCCAAGATTATCTATAGCTGTCAGTCATCATCACAAAAGGAACATTCGAAGAAGAAATGGAATGAATTTTCACAAGGAGCTCCGCATTTACAGGAAATAGTATTAGATAAGTGAACACGAAACAGATCGGAATTTAGTGTGCTACAATTGTGTCTCAATCTAGTGTACAATATGTTTGTAGATTTCTTACAACAATAAAAGTGCAAAGGTGGTGATGTGGGCTGTTCAGATGCGACTGCTTTAAAAGACGATATTGACGAACTATCCCTTATTTCTGATGATAGATTATTCCATTGGCCTTATGTGTCGATAACATAAGAGTGAGTGAGTTAAAGTTTAACGTCACATCGGCAATATTTCAGTGACGAAACAAAATTTGACATTAACAATATATTTTAAACTGTATAAAATTCTGCCAACGAAGGGCAGTATAATAACTAGAATATCACAGATTTACATAAAACTAGTTAGAGAGCATCTAAAAATATATTATCATTTTGCAACACAATATAAAAACAGGCTATAGATCGCCAACAACTGAAGGTAGATCACCACGCTAGGGTCCATGGGGACTTACAGTACTTTTGCTACCTGCATGGACCCCAGCAGGATTTACACCATCCCTTCAGTGGTTGGCGAATATTGTCAATTTAGCAGAATTAAAAGAACATATATTCTGCGATCAAAAACGTGGTAGTAATAAATATACTGTGAATGACGTGCACTTACGTACCATCTCCGGGGGACAATCCTTTTACACTACTTCAACCCCCTTCGAGGTACAGCCACTGACAATCTTAGTTATCCAATTTATTCTACCAATATTAAAAGATCATATATTAATTACATAACACATTTATCAAAATTTATGTACAAGTTCTATTTCTTTTAAAAGACTAAGGATTAAATGAGAGCTGATATTGTTAAACAGATCCTTTAACGATGAAACTTTGAAATATTTATCCCTTGTGATAGAAAAATCAATACAGTCAAGCAAGACATCGGCCTTTGTGTTACCAATGATTCCAACATGGCTGGGTAACCAACGAAAAACGATGTCGTTTTGGCCTGTAGCAAGTTGATTATATAATTCAATAATTTCAATTAAAAGTGGATGCTTACATGATATATTTTTAATAGCCTGAAGACACGAGGGAGTCCGAAAATAATATAAATTGCTTATGCCTAGTTTTTTACCAATATATTTTAGAGCTGTTAAAATTGCATGGGATTAGGCTGTAAAAAAAAAACTATTATCGGGTAGTCGTGAAGACATAATCCTAGATCCATCGACGGTCACCATCTTTGGATCCCTCTGTAAATATAGATTTGAATGTGTTATATGTGTTCCGCAATTCATTAAATTCTTGTTGATAGATTAGTTGGTTTGTTTCTGATTTCTTAAACTTAGTTAATGACAGGTCAATCTCTGTACCAACTGTCATGGGGGAGAGGTCAAAAGCTGAGTTGGAGCTATATTTTTAAGATTAATTTTGGCAGCAGAAATGTCAGATTTGATTTGTAGACCAAGTGAAGGAATTAAGGATTAAAAATGCAATCATATGGAGGATAAGTAGGATTTGAATATATCTTTGTGAGGTATTGCAATGAGAATTTTTGTTTTAGTGAGGCCTCTACATACAGACTATTGATGGGGGATGTTCTGAGGGCTCCATGGCAAAGCCTCAGGCCCTGATGATGAATACTATCTAATAATTTTAAATTACTTTTGCAGGCTCCACCATAGATGATGGAGCCATAATCCAGTTTAGAGCGGATAAGTGCCCTGTACAGATGAAGGAGGGTTTTCTGAACCCCTCCCCACTTTGAATTTGAAACGACTTTCAGAAGGTCCAGAGCTTTCAGGCATTTATTTTTCAAATATTCGATGTGTGGTAAAAAGGTTAAATGGCGATCAAAAGTAATCCCCATGAATTTAGCCTTTTATTTTTACAACTTCAATTGGAGTGCTATTTAAAACTAAATCAGGGTCTTTATGAGGTTTATATTTTCTACAAAAAATGGATACAATTTGTTTTTGAATTTAAAACCATTTTCCAACGACCATTTATTTATCTTATTTAGACACAGTTGCAATTGTCTTTCTATAGTATGCATGTTTTTACCACAACATGATATGTTAAAATCATCCACAAAAAGTGATCCATCAATTGAACGATAGCATAAGACCTTTTAAACGTAGATGTCCATGCAAATGGTACTTCAAAATCATGTCCGTGTCTGAGATTATATCTGACGTTCTGTGACACAGATGGTGGTATAAGATCAGTTACATATGAAGGACATTGCTTATTTATTATTTTATACATAGTTACAAGTTTGCTGACGTGTCATCTATACGCTAAAGACTACCAACCAGTTTCGTGATACAGGCTGCGACGGGAGGAATACTTAGTTAATCCTGTTACTATTCTAGCTGTCTCAAGTTGTGGTAATTCTAATTTATTATACATATGGAGTTTTCAATATATATATATATATATATATATATATATATATATATATATATATATATATATATATATATATATGTATATCTGGAGATGATATGCCAATGCTAGTATCATCTGCGAACAAACATTCATGGCATATATCATTAATTTAAATAAAAAAATAATAATGGACCAATGACTGACCCCTGTGGGACGCCAGCGTGTAGAATTTGTTCACTGGAGAGACAGCCGTTTACATTTCCTTTTTGGCAAATATGTGAACTGCATTAGATCGGGAGTGGCAGTTGATACATCTAAATCGCATAAGGCGAAGAAGGGTACATGATAAGAAGGGTACATGCATCAATATTTGTGTTTTTGTGAGTCAGGAGACTCATCTTTCAGATGAAATTTAGTTTGGCATCATATCTCAGATGAGACGGGAGTTAGTAAGTCCAGAGGGTGCTTAATTAGGTTTTCTGTGTATGTTAACACGAAATTACTGTACATATTGGGTATTGCATCTTGATATTGTAGCATCGTCCTAAACATTCGAATATGTTTTACATCAGAAACATATGGTCCTTTACTCTTAGACGTATTTAGAACATCACCAACATCAAACATATGCCCTACAGATGATACATAGATGACCATTTCTTGTTAGTTTCAAATGTAACACTGACCTAAACTAAGTATACATATATACAAAGCAGCCCATCGGCTGGTGTAATCAAGTTGTCTTAATGTTCCCTGTCAGTCGCCCTTCATCGTAACAGTTTATTTTATATGAACACATCTAATGCCTATTTCTGTTGATACATGACAAGGTCATCTTCTATTTCTAATTGAGATGTTTCAAGTGTTGTCAGCACCATACCCGTGCACGTGGGTTTCGCTGAACTGGAGAACATCTAAGACCTGCATCACTTCGAGCTTTCCTCCCACATTAAGCTGACACGCCGCGATATAACTGGAATACTGTTAAAAGCGGCGTTAAACTCACTCACTCACTCACTCTAATTGAGAACATATTTGTGCATCCCTTACTCCAGAAGCTCTTTAATAATGGCACGACGATTCCCATTTTCAACATATTCAAGAGCTGTCCGTCCTTTGTGATCCTGAATACTGGGGTCCATGCCTTTCTCAATAAGCTGTGCAACACAGTCAGTGAGTGCTTTCATGTGAATATTGTAAAAAAACTTCTTGTATACGATATTCCCCTCACACATAGATTTGAAAACATGAACTGCATAGTGAAAAGCTGTCTGTCCTTGGTGGTCTTGTATAGATGGGTCACTGGTTTTCTGAAGAATATTTGCAAAAATGCCTCTGTGTAGTTTCTTTGTAGCGCAATGAAGAACAGTCCTGCCCTCATTATCTTGTATGCTTGGGTCAATGTCCTTCTGTAGGAGTTGTTTGACACACTCGATATTTCCCTTTTCAGCTGCATAGTGAAGTGCTGTCATGCCTTGCTGATCTTGCATACAAAGACTAACACCATATTCAATAAGTAGAGTCATAGTTTCACGTTTGCCAGCCCCTGCAGCATGGTGGAGGGCTGTCATGCCCCTGTCATCTTTGATATTGACATTATTGCTACTTTCTAAGAGTACTTGGGCAGTTTGCTTGTAACATGTGTCTTGTAAAACAAAATCGCTATCAGATCCCCCTGTTGCATAGTGAAGTGCTGTTTTACCCAGCCCATCTTGTATATTTGCGTCAACACCTTTTAATAAAAGCGCCTTAACACTGTCCAATGTTCCTTTCATTGCAGCATAGTGAAGGGCTGTCCTACCACTTAGGTCCACTACGCTGGGATTCGCCCCTTTATGGATTAACAGTTTCAGAATGTCACTCTCTTTTCTCTCTGCAGCATAATGAAGTGCCACCTTTCCCTGTCTATCCTGTTCGTTTTTGTCGCAACCTTTCTCTAAGAGCAACGCAACATCGTCAGTTATTCCTTCCTGTGCAGCATAATGAAGAGCTGTCCCGCCAGTGTTGTCTTTTACAGCCAGGTTAACACCCTTTTCTAACAGCAATTTTACGCCACCACTATTCAAACTGCATGCAGCATAATGGAGAGCAACCTTTCCTGTTTCATCTTTGATGCTTGGGTCAACACCCATCTCCAGGAGAAGGTGAATTGTCTCTTCACATCCTGTCTCAGCAGCGTTGTGAAGGGCTGTTCTCCCTGTGTGGTCTTTCAATAGGTGATTGACACCTTTTTGAAACAATAGTTTTATTAAATTGATATTTGTATGTAATCTTGCCGCATAGTGAAGTGCTGTTCTCCCCTTTCGATCTATGATAGTTGGAACAGCTCCTTTTTCCAGCAGTAGTTTCCATGTGTATTCTGACCATGCATAAAACCATAATGTTTGGCCCTCACTGTCAAGTAAGTTTGGGTCTGTCACTTTATCGAAGAGCAGTGCAATGTTCTGGACATGTTCACGTTCTATTGCACATGAAAGTGCTGTCATACCCTGTTGGTCTTGTACGTTTGGATCCACACCTACATTTAGGAGCATTCGTACATAAACGTTATCCACCACTGCAGCAACGTGGAGGGCTGTTCTCCCTTTATTATTTTGAAGCATTGTGTCTATGCCTTCCTCTAAAAGCAACTCAACCGCTTTCATCCCGCCATGACTTATAGCAATGTGAAGGGCTGTCTGTCCTTCCTTATCCTGCGCGTTTATATCTACATCTTTTTCAAGGAGAAGAAGAATATTAAAGATGTAGTCAGATTCTGATGCATAATGCAATGCTGTTTTGCCATAATAATCTCGTATATTTGCATCACAGCCTTTATCTAATAGGCGTGAAGCAATTGGCCAACATGAAATCTGTGTTGCAAAATGGAGGGCGGTGCTTCCCTTGTAGTCTTGTAAATTGAGGTTGACCTTCTGTTGCAGTAGCAACATTACTCTTCCAATTTCCTTTGACTGAACAGCAAGGTGAAGTGCTGTCATCCACCTCCAATTCTGTGCATCCATATCTGTCTGGTGTTCTAGAAGCAGCTTCATAATGTCAAGGACATTTTGCGGTAGAGGGCATTGTGCAGCATAGTGTAAAGGCGTTTCTCCATAGTTAGTCAATTGACTCGCATTTGAGCCATTTTCAAGAAGCAACCTGACAATCTCCTTGTTCTGCTTCTCAATTGCCAAGTGGAGAGCTGTTCTACCTTCAAGATCTTGTTGATTAGTATCAACATGTGCATTCAGAAGGATTGTAATGGCTTCTGAAAAATGTTTTGGGTTTGGACAATGGGTAGAGCAACGTATCATTATGTATAACAAGGTGTGTCTATTTAATTTATCCTTGTGGTTAACATTCAGTCCTTTGTCTATCAGGAACGCCATAGGCTCAACATCGCCTGTATCCACTGCTGATATAACTGCTTGAAAAAGAGCTGTTCTCCCCCCATTGTCTGTTGTATGAAGAGGAACCTTTTTCACATTAAGCAGATATTCAAGTTTTTCTACTCCAAGAAAGTGTGATCCTGCTGCTGCATGTATAACGGTTTCCCCTTCCGTGTCTAATGCATGAACATTGGCTCCAATTTCACACAAATATTGCACTTTTTCCATATCAGCATGTCTGCAAGCAGCATGAAGTACCGTTTCTGCATAAACAGTATCCCACTCAATGTGCGTGGAGCGTTTTTCCAAACCCATATGTACATCAATCATTTTGCACAATAATCTCAAAGCCTTCAAGTCCCCAAATTCAATTGTTCTGCGAACAAGCTCTTCTTTCAATTCGATTTTAATATCAGTAACCGACTTTAGTACATGATTAATAATGTCTATGTTTGTGCATGAAGAAAGAGGTGTCCCATTGAAATTGTCCTGCACAGCAATAGATGCTCCTTTATCCATCAGTAGCTTTACACATTCAGTATGGTTGTTTGATACAGCCCAGTGTAATGGGGTCCTCCCAATGAAGTCCGTCGAGTTAACAGGCTTGCCTAATCTCAGCAACATCTGAACACATTTTGTGTTTCCATGTCCGGCTGCAATGTGAAGCAAGGGCCCTTTACCTTCATCAATGGGATTTATGAAAGGAACACTGCTATGTTGTAACAGAGCTTCCAAACAGTCTGCCCCACCATATGCTGCAGCTTGATCAAATGGGTTTTTATAATCTGAAAATATGCTCCATGCAATATACGTATCAGATTCAACTGTAACTGTCTTGTTGAGTTCCAGAATCAGTTTCAGAGCTGATGCATCAACGTGAGCCGATGCTAAGCAGCAGAGGTAATCAGTATCGTTGGCATGATAATTGTTCAGTAGAATCTTCATTATCTTTGTCAAGTTGTCCATGTCGTATGGTTTGAACTGTGGATACGGGTTAGTTGTCTGAAGCTCAAGTAACAGCCGTCTTAAAGAATTTTCAAATATGATGTTGTTTTTTCTCTCATGCTTCAATATATCTGTTAGCAGTTTCACAACAGCATAGTTCCCATAAAGAACTGCCAATAAAAAGTGGCTGTAACTCAACATAGGCACATTATCTGAGTTGTGTTTATACTCGTTTGCCTGTTCATCCCAAACGTTTGTAAATATTCTTTCCGTAGTGTGTGTAGCAATGCCTCTTGCAACGCAAAGAGCGCTGAAGCAGCTCACATTTGGTTTAGCTCCTTGGGCTAAAAGTGTCTCTGTAAGTATGTTACTCCCTACATAGATAGCACAGGGCAAACAACACTGCAACACATCAGTGGTAAGGCTGCACCTTTCCGATAGAATGTTGAACATAATTGTATTTGTAGTAAGAATGAAAAGCTCCAGCAAAGTATTGACTTCTAAAATCTTTGTCACATAACATGTGGACTTGAACGCCAAATATTCCCTTGGCTTTCCTAGTTTATGAGAAACTATATCTCTAACTTTGTTTTGAGAAATCCATCTCTCTACTAGGTAATTTGCAAATGTTTCATTTCGTAGAGACGGGTGGTTTAAAATACTATGAACAGTGACCATTTCTTCACTCAGCATCAGTTGAGTTATTCGGTCAGCAAACGCTTCATGATGTTCCTCGTTCAAGAGCACCTGGTTTCTTCTGTTCTCACATTCACCTTCTGATGTTCTGACAAATTCTACAAGTATGTTAGCAGGACACAAGGGAATGTAAATGTCAGGATACACTTGGGAAATGTTAATGAAAACTGCGTCGAATATTGACTGGTGCTGGAAAACGTATCCCTTTCCAGTGTGACACAGGTATACACCACAAAGTGAATCAGCCTTCTGTTTGATGTCATAAAGACTTGGATTTTTGGATAGATTTGAGCCTAATTCTATCAAATAATCTAACCTATTTTTAAACTCTTGGGGGCTTTTGTGAGGATGAAGATACTTGTTATCAAGATATCCCTTTTCAAATAACACTATCAACAGAACCAGATAGCCAAGCCCATCACTCTCTTGCAAACAGTTTACTTCCTCCAACACATACTCATTTGGTTTTAGGAAAAAAATGACCCTTTGACTCTGTGCTTGCTTACTTCTTGCGAAATAGTGACAACACTGGGGGAATCCAAGTGTTGTCTTTAACTGTACTATCACATTGATCTCCTCTTCAGTAAAGTTCACTTTTGTTTGGCAAATCCTTTTGAGTAACAACTTCTTTTCCTTCGGTCGAAGTGTAAATTCACCTTCATCTAAAGTTAGATGGAACATATGACTGTTAAGTTTGTATTTTTTCAGTCGGGACTGGCATTGGTCACTTATGTCTGGTCGAGATGTCAACACCAGCATTACATGGCCAGATTCAACTGAAGGATGCATGACATCAAACACTCTTGTCCATTCATCAAAACGAGATTCAACAAAATTAGTCGATCCGAAAATGTCATCTATTAGTACGACATAATTATTCGCTGGTTTTCCAGATGCTACATTTTTGGGTTTCTGGGGGATATCTCTCCACTGTTCTGCCGCTGTCAAGACTATAGGTATCCTATGTGTCAACCTTGAGACGTCAGCAAGGAGTCTCAGCCCTAATCTAGATTTCCCAGAACCAGATCGTCCTTTCATAAATATTGCTCCACGGTGTTGCAGATGTTTCAATGCCAACCTCTGTCCAAAAGTTGACACATACACTGATTCATGCTGTGTGATCATTGTCTGAGTTGTTTCTAGAAAAGAAATGATTCAAATAGAGTGAAATCTCAGTGGCATTGTCACCTGTATTTGGACCATCATACATTGTAATGCCAGACCGGAGCATGTCTTGTTACCCTGTCTGGCGCTCGGCATTAAGGGGCTAAAACAAGGACTGGTCGGCTCGGAGTCAGTATACTGTGTCTGAGTGGGGTATTCATGTTAAACTGCGGCATGGTATCTCAGTGAGCTAGCACTATAAATCGGCATCAGTCCGGACTAGTACAAGCAGCCACACAAACACACACACGTACATGCACGTCGCTATATAAGTGCAATAATCTTGGACGCGACGTTAAATCCAATTTCACCTCACCTCACCTCACCGGAGCATGTCACAATAAAAGGATATGTATAGTAATCAGCTTGCTTGAAAGAAACACAAGGATGAAGTCTAAGGTAGGTCAAAGGAGAACTGCGGCCCCTGGATATTGTAATATTATGTTACTTAAGGCTTTGGTAATTGCTATTGGCTTCAAGACTGGCATTGTTATGAATGAAAAATATATGTTATCATTCCAATTATTGCCCTGAAGCTAGAAATGTACCTTCATACATTTTAGCGCAATATATTGAAATCATAAAGTGAGGCAAAGTCGTGCTATGTGCCTAAGGCACCCGTCAATTTTATGATCGTTTCGTTTCACAAGTATTAACAAATTGGTAAATATCCAAGAACTGCTTGAACTCACTCACACAGTTTGCAACTACTCACCACAGATGTTTCTAAAACGTTGATCTGCAATAAAAAAGACAAATCAATAATTCCATTCTATGGCATGACCAGATATGCTGACATGTGAAACATACTTGCAATAAAACATTCATCAACAAATATTTGATGTAATGCCAATACAGAAATACTTATTTGGGGCAATAAACACAAGCAAAATGGTAGTTTTGATGGTAGCAGAAAATAACTTCCCACATGAACAGTCTCTCAATTTTACACATGACATTAATCAAAACCTCCGGACATGGAAGTGAAATTTGTCAAATTTGGTTACGCTACAGAGCATATATTCCTTTGAATGCACTTAATTTAAGTTGTTTGTGTGTGGTTTGATCAAATGTCATTGTGGATTAAAAGTAATATTTGTCAAATGTATAATCTATGTCCTTTGAGTACATGTCTGCCAGACAATATAATGTCAATGACTTGAAGAAAGACCGCAATAAGTAACATCGACTGCAGAAGTATTATGTTCCTACCTATTGTTTCTTGGTCATTTTCTGGTGCTACAGGCTGAGGGTCCGTTTTATTGTCTGGTGTTTTTTGGCTAAATGATGGAGCATGTATGAATGAGAGTCCTTCGCCTGCAGTCGCGACTGAATTTACATGAGTGATATTTGATGTCTCTATGGCTGGAACATTTATCCCTGAAGTCTGGAGGGATGGAACCTGAACATTTGCAAAAGCGTCTGACTTTGGAAGATTGGTTCTGGGGAGATAAGTTTCTCCAGGCTGTTGATTTGGTTGAATGACCTTCAAACCAGAAGACCCAGGGTCAATAACTGTCAAATTAGTTTCTCCAATTTCAATGACTGCTTGGCGGGGTGAGGCTTGATCGTCAGAAGGCAGATTGGCACTTTTGATAGTGTGATCTCTTCTCTTGTTCTCCGCTATGTTAGACTTTCTTCTGTTTAAGTTTCCACTTTCACCAATCAGGTTATCTGTTGTTCTATCTATGTTATCAGTTTCCTCTTGGTGTGTGTCATTAGGGACACTGTGGCCATGTGGTATGAAAGGTGGCCAGGTATCTGTAAGGATACTTTTAGCTCCATAGAGGACAGCTGGTATGACTTGTTGCATAACTCGTTTGAAGGTTGTCTTTTGTGTTCCCTGCAGCTGCGTACCCGTTTCTCCAGTCTCTAAACATGGGGTCTGAATCTCTCCATGACTGGGACGCTTTTCCTCAGGATCACCGTCAGCATATCTCTCGCCTGGCTTGGGTCGTTTCTCGGGTTCACCTGCGCCTTCCTGATCCATGTCAAGTGACTTGTCCATTGTCCTAATCTTGTCGGTTAGTGACCCCAAATGTTCATCCAGCTATATTTTATAACTGCTATAACATATGTCGTCAGTTCTGAAGTAGGAAATAAAAGGGACATCATTACGGTAATCATCATCATCTTCATCATCTTATCATCATAATCATCGACACCTGGATTTGCTCAGAGAATGTTTTGGGATACCATATGTGATTACGTTGGGGATTAAAGCATTTTATTATTTAACTGAAGCATTTATCCATGACATAAGCTTATGACATAAAAATGTATGTCATACCTCAATGACATAAGTATGAGTTGCTATATGGCTGGAATAATGCCGATGCGACGTTAAATTTTAACTCACTCACTCACTCACATAAGTATGCAAATTAGATCTTCAAATTAGATTACCGGAAGTGGGACTTTTTCGCCGGTGCACGTGAGTAGGTGTTTACAAACAACATGGATACCTTTGATGTTGAAGACAATGTTTTAATAGATCAAAGGGGAAGTGCTACAGTGATATCCGTGTTGACAAATGGATATTACAGGTTACAGGTTGATCGTACAGAACTTGAATTTGACTGTGATGAAGGCAGATTATCAAAACTTCTCTGTAGCCAACGTTTCATCATCAAAACGCCATCATCGAGCATGGCGAAGCAGACGACGAACACAAAGCCTAAAGATGCCCAAAGGAGATTTGTGGCTGTTGAGGACGGCATGGTCGATGGTGTGATCCTAGACAATCAAAACAAAAACGCAGCAAAAAACTTTGTACGATTTGAAACTGTTCGTTAACTTTCTAAAAGTCCAATATGAAATTCGCTAAATGCTTGAAATCCCCCAAAACGAACTTGACACACTTCTCTGCAACCTTTTCATTAATGTTCGAAAAACAAACGGGGAAAATTATTAACTAAACAGTCTCACGGGTTTTCTGAGCAGTATCGAGACATCACTAAAACGAAGGAGGTGTGGCTATTCACTCACGTCATCTTTAGAATTTTCACGATCACGGGAAGTGTTAAAGGGCAGAAAAAATGAACTGAAGAAAAAAGGGCGTGGCAACTTACCAAGGAGAGCCGACCCGATTGGTGATGAAGAGATCGAGTCCCTGTGGCAGTCCGGATCCATTGGAATCAGTAATCCAATGAGCATAATAAACTGTCTATGGCTCTACAACACAATCCATTTCGGGTTAAGAGGTGTTAATGATCACAACAACATGTGTTGGGGGGGACATCACGTTGAATGTTGATGGAGACGGTCACGAATATCTTGAACTGTGCATGAGACAAGAAAAGAATAGGTCCGGTGAGAAACCTCGTGATTGTCGCGACGTATGACCCAAAATTTGGTCTAATGTTGCTGATCCCTCTCGGTGCCCTATGCAGGTGTATAGGTTGTATGCCTCCACGCGTCTTCTTTTGAGATGACGATCCATATTTACATCGGCACACACGCTTTCAGTATGCCTTAACCTGGCGACCAGTGGTTTATCCGCTATCGTATTGGGAAAAACAAACTTTCCTCTCTCATATGTGCGATAACGCCAGTCTCAACACATCGAAATGACTCAAAAATCACTCTGCGCGCAAACACATTGTGCAAAAGTTGAATGAAAATAATGTTCCGCCAAATCAAATAATGCAGATAACTGCCCACACAAACATCCATTCTGTGAACAATTACTGCCATATTAATCCTGACCAGCACAAGCAAATATCAAACATCATTTCACGAAACACTCAATTCCACACCGTGACATCGATATCCCAGCTTATTGATGAAACTCGCGTAAAGCAGAGCGGCCCCACGCGTAATGTCCAAATCGATAGTAGACAACAGTCAGCAGTCTCAAGTATTAAATGTTTCTGGTGGTGTCAACACTATGTTTGCTGGCAACATTACTGGTGGAAACATAAGGATTAATCTCGTTAGAGATATCATCAGATTACACAGAATCGTTGTTGTTACCGTTAATTATTTATTATGTACCGTTTCAGTTATTCTGCAAATGCCTGGTCAAGTATTTTGTTTAAAATAATCCGAGGAACTTTTTCTCTCAGCGAAAGAATATGCCATAAAGGAGTTAAGAGGTTGTTTATTTTGGTTCACAGTAACGTCTCACAGCTATGGAAACATGTATCACTGCGCATGATCTACACATCAGATTTCGAATGGTTGCTGATGTAAATGTTAATTCAATTATTCCTTAAAAGGGAGGCAAAAGTGAAAATGATAAATAGAATACATCACTCGTGTTTTTTCAATATTGGAAATATCAACCTCGACCCGTTTATCGGTATTTAAACACCGATTAACTAAGGCTCGGTTGATATTTCCCACATTAAAAAAAAGCACTCGTCATGAGTCCTCTATATTAGTATTAAGATAACAATTAATGGGTTTTCCCTACCTCCAGATCTAAACATTGAACTATAGTTGTTTTCATCCTGTAAACCCACTCAATTTGTTGAGGTCACTTTCGGTAAGCAACAATATAGGTCAAATGTTACATAATGATTTAGTTTGAAGTCCTAAGATTTTTTTTTAGCCATAAACATCAACAAACTATTTACTGATGTATAAATTTAATAACGAAGTCCTCATTATAAAGGAGATCGAAACGTGACTCTTCCGTGTATAGTGGCTGGTAAACATGTCATGTTTAAGTCTAAGCAACAAAACCGTTGCCATAATCATAAGAAATATCTACTGAAAGCAAAATCCATTTTGCGATTCTGACTACATTATACGCACGAGTGCATGAACCTAAATGACCTGAATAGCGATTGTACCGGGTATTTGCGAATAGGTGAGGGTACCCTGTCTCACGAGTGAAAATGAACATATGTTACAAATCAAAATAGGAAATGGCATCATACGTCATATTTGTCACTGTTATGTCAAATTTGAAAATGTCTCCCACAAGAGCCCTATGACACCATGCTTGAATATTGCTCGACATAAAGGAATGTTGACTTACATAAAGGAAAGTTGAAGTGCAACTTTTTGTCATACTGTCTTCTGGAGAGGTCACCCTGAGTGCATAGATGTAAGTATGAAACAAATAAGTATGTTTCACTAGTCTCTTTTCTTTCAAGCTCATGTGAGTAAATCAGTAGAATGTAATTGGCTATTAATCATTCTTAAGTGATTTCAGGTAGTCGATATGCCTGAAAACCCTTTCCATATTAATAAAGAAATCTCTGCTAAAAGCAGTCGACTGCACCATTCCGTTCAGGTTAACTGTTTCAGTGTTCAGGTTAACTGATCCACTATTCAGGCTGTCATGTTAACTGATCCTCTGTTCCAGCTTACTGTGTCACAGGTCAGGCTATTCAGGTTAACTGATCCAGTTTTCCAGCTTACTGTGTCACAGGTCAGGCTGTCCAGGCTAACTGATCCAGTGTTCCAGCTTACTATGTCACAGTTCAGGCTATTCAGGTTAACTGATCCAGTGTTTCAGCTTACTATGTCACAGGTCAGGCTGTCCAGGTTAACTGATCCAGTGTTCCAGCTTACTATGTCACAGGTCAGGCTGTCCAGGTTAACTGATCCAGTGTTCCAGCTTACTATGTCACAGGTCAGGCTGTCCAGGTTAACTGATCCAGTGTTCCAGCTTACTATGTCACAGTTCAGGCTATTCAGGTTAACTGATCCAGTGTTTCAGCTTACTATGTCACAGGTCAGACTGTCCAGGTTAACTGATCCACTGCTGCACTGTTAATGTTAACTGATCTTCTGTTCAGGTTAACTGATCCACTGTTTCAGCTTACTGTGTCACAGTTCAGGCTGTCAAGGTTAACTGATCCACTGCTGCACTGTTAATGTTAACTGGTCTTCTGTTCAGGTTAACTGATCCACTGTTTCAGCTTACTATGTCACAGGTCAGGCTGTCCAGGTTAACTGCTCCACTGCTCAACTGTTAATGTTAACTGATCTTCTGTTCAGGATAACTGATCCACTGTTTCAGCTTACTGTGTCACAGTTCAGGCTGTCAAGGTTAACTGATCCACTGCTGCACTGTTAATGTTAACTGATCTTCTGTTCAGGTTAACTGATCCACTTTTTCAGCTTACTGTGTCACAGTTCAGGCTATACAGGTTAACTGATCCACTATTCAAGCTTGCTGTGTCACAGTTCAGGATGTCCATGTTAACTGATCCACTGTTTCAGCTTATTGTGTCACTGTTCAGGCTGCTCAGGCAAACTGTTCTACTGTTCAGGTTAACTGTTCAACTGGTAAGGTTAACTGTTTAACTGGTAAGGTTAACTGATCCACTATTCAGGCTGTCATGTTAACTGATCAACTGTTACAGCTTACTGTGTCACAGTTCAGGCTATTCAGGTTAACTGATCCAGTGTTCCAGCTTACTATGTCAGAAGTCAGGCTGTCCAGGTTAACTGATCCACTGCTGCACTGTTAATGTTAAATGATCCTCTGTTCAGGTTAACTGATCCACTGTTCAAGCTTGCTGTGTCACAGTTCAGGATGTTCATGTTAACTGATCCACTGTTCCAGCTTACTGTGTCACAGTCCTGTCTATTCAGGTTAACTGATCCATTGTTCCAGCTTACTATGTCACAGGTCAGGCTGTTCAGGTTAACTGATCCACTGCTGCACTGTTAATTTTAACTGATCCTCTGTTCATGTTAACGGATCCACTGTTCCAGATTACTGTGCCACAGTTCAGGCTATACAGGTTAACTGATCCACTTTTCAGGCTGTTCATGTTAACTGATCCATTGTTCCAGCCTACTGTGTCACAGTTCAGGCTGTCCATGTTAACTGATCCACTGTTCCAGCTTACTGTGTCACAATCCTGGCTATTCAGGTTAACTGATCCACTGTTCCAGCTTATTGTGTCACTGTTCAGGCTGCTCAGGTAAACTGTTCCACTGTTCGGGTTAACTGATCCACTGTTTAGCTTAACTGTTTCACTGTTCAGGTTAACTGATCCACTGTTCCACTGTTCAGGTTAACTGTTCCACTGTTCGGGCTGTTCAGGTTAACTGTTCCACTGTTCGGGTTATCTTTTCCACAGTTCAGGTTTAACTGTTCCACTGTTTGGGCTGTCGAG